GTTCTAAGTCTTGTTTCTAACTCTATGACCTTGGATAAATGTCTTTTTATTCTGTAAGATGCAGGCAAAAACTGCCCCCTACCTATCTTTTGGAGCTGCTGCAAGATTTATTAAACCAAGTGAAAAAAAAAAAAAAAAAGCAAAACAAAAACTGTTTAGAGGTCTGATGAGAAAGTTACATATATAAAAGAGGCAGCATTGTTATCTCCACCAGGAGGTATACAAAGTTAACTTTCCTAACATCTCAGTGAGTTAGGTAATCTTGATCCTGCTTATACAGATAAAAGAGTTTAAGTCCTACTGATAAAGCCACTTAGTAAGGGTATATGAGAAGAGATACAACTTCTGGATTCAGACGTAGGCCACTGTTTGTTGATACCTGACAATATTTTAAAAGCAATTTTTAAAACCCCATCTTCCCTTTGGCATACAATGAGAATAGGCTGCATATGATTCTTTCTGTGGTTCTTCATGCAATTGATCTGAAATGCAAGACACCTTGTCTCAATGGTATCCAAGGGGAGCCAAGTATTTTGAGAGCTATTAAAAGACATTGTTCTAATGATGAAGCATATAATGTGATTAAGTGCAAGCTGAAGCCAAGGTATCTGTCAGACACGGAGAGAGGGGAAAAAAGGGGAATCCAGTGTGACAGTTAACCTGTAGCTCCTGCAGTCTGTGAGTATGTGAGTAGTATATACACCACTCTTGAACATTACTCCCCATGCACATACCAAATAAAAACAAATGGAAATGGAGAATCAATATTTCCTCTTAACCTAAACAAATTTTTCCCCTTGTTTTTAAAATTACTTGGACATTACTAAAAGCAATTCAAGGTGCTAATTAGAGTACCTGACATATAGTAAATCATCAATAAATATTATCTTTCACCTGTACAATTTGGAGGAGGGAGAGTATTGCATAAATCAAGAACATATTATGACTTAGGCTATCTTTGTTATAAGCTTATTCCTTGCACTAAATCGTTCTGTGACACTGGGTAGTAACATCTTCTGTAAGCTAGGGGAAATTTAACTGAAATAAACTTATTTAAAAACAAGAAGAAAATGCATGAGCTAGTGTGTTTAGCATTTTCAGCATAGTTTCTAGTGTCAGTGACTGGAAGTAATACAGTTTGGCTTGCTACACAGGAGCCATTTGTCCAGCTAGTCATTATTTATCAAACACTTAATGAACCAGGCACTGAGGAAGACAATGAACATAGAGCAAATTAATAAACAATATATGGTCCTTAGTCACATGAAATCTTGGGAAGAAATTACTGACAAACAACAGATTCAAATAAAGTAAGAGGTAATAATCTATACTAAGAAGAAATAAGAAAGGAATTTCTTCCCTAGGCAGGCAATCAGGGAAAGTCTTTCCAACGATAACTATTTAAAATCAAACTCTCAAAAGAAAAGAATCAACCATGTGAAGGGGGAGTGGTGATAGGCATTCTGGGCAGCTGGAGCAGCACAAGTGAAGGTCCTGAGTGAGGTAAATACTCCACACAGCAGAGGAAGCTACAGCCCAGAATGGCCTGGCATATGGGCGAGAGGAGAGAGAGGAGAGAGCCTGGCCCAAATGTGATTGGGGAAAAGTACCTGATAGGCAATGTGAGGTGGTTGGAAACGATTCTGTTTGCAGTGGTGAATTGGTACATGGTATTAATCAGTGACAAGAAATTCTATCTCTTACTCTTTTTAAAAATTACTTTTGTTTCTTTGTTGGGAAATGTGGCCAAATTTCTTTGATTACTGAAATAGTCATATTTAATTTATCTCTATATATATACATGCACACAGGTATTATATTCAAAATTACATATAATATTTATGTAATGAGTAATTAAATATGAGCACAGCTAAATTTTATTTTTTAATTAAAATTAAAATATCATCAAGTTCTATTATTTGCTTATTGTACAAGAAATGGATCCATTTAGTGCTGATGTTTGGGTGCTTGTTTCCCACTTTGGAGACAACTGTTAGTGAGTAATGGAGGAACACAACAATTGTGGAGTAGGAAGAGCAGCAGAGAGTCTGTTGTGCTAGTCCAGGTGAGGAATGATGCTAATTTAGACTAAGCTGTAGCATTTTTTTTCATGTGTGCAATGAAAGAAAACTTCCTTACTGAATTATGGATCTATGAGTTCCCAACTGAACTTTAGTATTGTTTTCCTAATAAGTGACCACTCTTAATGTATTTATATATATATATAATAAAACCTATTGGGTGGCTTAGTGAATTGATGGATTAAAAATACCTAGCAACAGATTTTTCCCTATGACTAGCTCATTCTTATAGTCTTCTGGAAAAGAGTAACCATTTGAGGAACAACTGTTACTTTCCCATTTTGCAGTTGACAAAAGTCTTTGGGAATCAGAGTAGTTATATACATATATATATATATATTTACATTTTGTGTATATGTGTGTCTATAAATTTCTTATACATGCATATACATATATAGAGAGAAAATGTATAATAAAAAATATATATAATATCTGGAGCCAATTTAATTGATATTTGTGTAACTGTTTTCTCAAATGAATAATCAAATTCTTAAAAGATTTTTTGACCTCTGTGGACTCCCAGGAAATGGACTGCAAATGCTTTCACTTTAAAGACATCATTCTAACAAGTGTTTGGAAAGAGGAAAATTGCACACTACGGGAAGAAAAACTCAGCCCTAGTTATACCAATTTTCTTCATGAAGAGATTCATTTTGAAACAATGACTAATGCCAGAAAATTTTCCTCCACTAATTTCTTCTTTTCCATTTTGCTGTCTTCAGTCTTCTAGCTGGATGGGACTTTATTTGGGTTCTGATTCTTTAATCTGGTTTTCCTTTCTTGGAGGAATTCCCACACACTTATCCAGACTGGAAAGGAGGTTAGCAGGGCATAGAAAGAAGTCATTAAGCAAATGATCCTGCAAAGCTCTAAAACCCTTTCTGAGGAAAGGAAGAGGACTGCGCTGGGCTTTGACAAAGAGAAGCTGGAATCTGGGGAGGAGGGAGGACTGCTGGCTCTTTTCCCCATCCAGAAGCTAAACCCTGCAGCCAGTGTTCAGTGTCAGGATGATCCAGGCTTGTGCAGTGAAGGTGCTTTTGGAAGAACACTCCATCTGTGCCTTTTAGTGACAAACAGGACGCTCTTTGTCCTTTTAGCCATTCAAGTTTAATGGCTGACAAGCCTGCCCTTCTTGCATTTGGAATTCCCTTGCATTGGTTCTATAAGAATAATAATTTAGGTGAATCTTTTCCAAACACCTCTCTGGACTGATATAATGAAAATTTCTCTTGGACAGCATCAGAAATTTTCATTAATTGAAGAGTAATTGTCAGTCTTTATTACTTTCAAGTTGGTCTCAGCCCAAACACACAATTCAGATTTTTCCAGTGAGGTTACCATTCTAATTGTGAAAATGAGCCAAAAATGTAATTATAAACTGAAATAAGTGTGGTTTTGTTACATCCTTCATTTATTCAATCAGTAAGTATTTATTAAATAGTTTCATAATAACGATGTGCATAGGAGCATATTATTTACTAATATTAAGACTATGCATCTCAACTCTTAAGAGCAAAATACCTATTTGGAAAGGGCTTGAGTTTTGAGAGTCTTTGTAATTTTCAAAGCACATTCACGTACTATAAATCCTCATCTGAACTTTTGAACAGCAGCAAGGGAACTGGGCTGGGCAGATACTGTAACACACACTTATTTAGTTCTAGGAGTGGATGGGATTTTAAAGGTCATCCAATGGAACCACTTAATTTTAAAGCATAGGAAGCTGAGAGTGACTTGTCTGAGGTCTCCCAGCAAGCCAGGGGCAGAGCAGGCAGCCCTGACTGGCTGTCAGGGATTTAAAGGCATGTGTTAGTAGCACTGGGCTAGACCTCAGATGATACAAGATAAATATAGCACCGTGCCTCTTTTCCTGCATTTATCTGATGTAGATGTCCCTCACAGACCTGTAATAAATATTTATAGAATTAATGACTGCCAGCTCTCCCACCCTTCGGGGTCCTGTGCCAAACACTAAGGATAAAACGGGAAACAAAATAAACGGGTCACTTCTTCCCAGTTGCTCACATCGCACTTCTTGTCCTCAATGAGTTTGCAGTCTCTTAAGGCAGCCAAGATATATAAATCCGCCTACACACCACTTGGTGGAATCTTAGTTTTGGGAAAAGTGTTCTCTCAGATATAATTGCGTCCAGGAAGATTGGGTTCAAAGACAGTGAGCGCTTGAGGAGGTCAGGAAAGACAGCCAAGGGTGAGAATTGATGAGCAAAGTCCCAAACTACCACACACCCATCCACCCACACACACACCCACACCCACACACGCACACACACAAGCCTTTAATTGCATCACTCTGCCGCTGCCTTTCCGGATCTCTCCCCTCCTGAGACACAGGCTTCGCTCGGAGTAAGGTCACGACGCCAACTCACCGAGGATAAGAGGGGGGCAAGGACGGGAGCCCCCCACCCCGCCCCAGAAAGAGAGTGGAAGACGGAAACAGCAGCAGAGACTGACAGAAAGAAAGAAAGCGGGACTGGAACAGCCCCCACACAGCGGCAGCTCTGCGAGCCCCAGGGCGGCCGCCCCCACGGGGAGGGTGCGCGGGCTCCTCCCGGGGCCCCGCGGGGGCGCGGCGCGGGAGGCGGCGCGGAGCTTCGCGACTGCAGCGCCCGCGAGCCGAGGGGAGGGTCCGCGGCGGCGGCGGCGGCGGCGGCGGCGGCGCAGCCAGTCCCGGCGGCCGGGTGCGCAGCGCAGCTCGGCAGCGGGACGCGGCTCCCCGAGCCCCGGCAGCGCCCGCCCGCCCTCCCGCCCGCGTCGCCCGCCAGCGCGCCAGCGCCCGCTCCGCCTGTGACTTCAGTTCGGCTCCACCCCCGCGTGGCGGCGGCTCGCTCCGTCCGAACCCGCGCTCGGCACAAACCCAGCCCCGGCGAGCGGCTGCCACCTGCCCGGCGCCGCCTCCGCCCGCCCCGCCGCGGCCCAACTTGGATGGAGTTGGGATCCTGAGCGCCAGCCGCCGCCCCCCGCCACCGCTGCCTGCGGAGAAGAGCCCCGCGCCGCTACCTCCGTTCTGGGACCCTCTTTCCGCTCCTCTCCGCTCCCGCGATGGGAAAAGTTGGCGCCGGCGGCGGCTCCTCAGCCGGGCTGAGCGCGCTCCTCGCCGGCGCGGGGCTCTTGGTGCTCTGCGCCCCGGGCGCCTGCGGCGGCGGCTCCTGCTGCCCCCCACCACATCCCAGCGCTGCCGGCCGCTGGCCCCCGACCCTGGGACGCTTTCCTCACCGGGGGCCGCCGAGCAGGGCTCCTGCCACGCCCCTGACCTTCCCTGCGCGCCCCCTGTTTACAGTGGCCCCCGGGGACCGAGCGCTGTCCCTGGAGCGGGCCCGGGGCACCGGGGCGTCGCTGGCAGTTGCTGCACGGTCCGGCCGAAGGAGACGGAGCGGAGAGGATCAGGAGAAGGCAGAAGGCGGAGAGGGCGCCGGCAGGAGCCCCCGGGGAGCGCTGAGGGATGCAGGGCAGCAGGAGCCTGGGACTCGGGAGCGGGACCCGGACAAAGCCACCCGCTTCCGGATGGAGGAGCTGAGGCTGACCAGCACTACGTTCGCGCTGACCGGCGACTCCGCACACAACCAAGCCATGGTCCACTGGTCTGGCCACAACAGCAGCGTGAGTACAGTGGGGCTGAGGGCAGACGGGTGCAAGACGGCAAGGGGGTAAGGTCGACTGGGGGGTCTGACGGGGAATTTGGGGAAACGGGGCTTCCGGACTTGGGGGATGCTGCAAGCTGAAGAGTCCCCCCCCCCACTCCGCCCCGTGGGCCTGCCCCCAGGAGTTCATACTACCTACTAGGAGACCAGCCTCCACCCTTCCCCTGTCCTCTGCCAATGCCAAACAAAGCCTCAAACTAACAGGCAGATTCCTATTTGGTGTTTTCTTTGGTGGCATTCCTGTGTGGAACTGGAGACCAGGTAAACAGAGGGGGTTAAAGAAAAGTACTCCCAATACAGAGAGGCAGAGAGGAAAGGGTTAAATTTTCAGGTAGGCTGCCATTCCCTCCAGTGACTTTTCCCTGTACTTGCAGACTTATGGACTGCCTCAAGTCAGAGCAAGCCTACATAGGTAGGTTTTGTGTTTTATTTTTCTGCAGATCCCTAACTCCTTCCCCACAAGGGAGAACTGCAGTGAAAGATAACGTGTCCTTTCGTGTGGGCTCTGTTTTGGGGGGCGAGTGGTGATGCAAGTTCCACGTCTGGAAGTCTCCAGCACTAGCAAGTGTGCTTTGAGAGCAGGGCTCCCCAGGCTGGGCACCAGCAGTGGCTTCCTGTCGTGGTCAGGTTCATAAGGATCAGCTAGAGCCCAGGGAGGACTCCTTGGTTTCCCTATTGCCTGGCCCACGCTAGTGAAGCATAGGTCCCCTGGATGAAGCCAAGGAAAGGGGTTGCTGTGTTCCAGAAGGAGATTCTAGGGGACAGGAAGGAATTCTTCCCCTGTAAACTAAACCTAGAAACTTCAATGGGCTGGAATAGTAAAGCAGCAGCTTTGCTGGTCATGGCTGAAGATGCTGTAAATGTGTGGAAAGTTCTCCAGCTGCCACGAAGCTAACAAGAAGAACGTTAGAAACCAAAGATTGGTGAAATGACAAACCCCAGAGGAAGCCCCAGTCGGGTAATGGAGGGTATAGCGTTTGTAGTACGCACAGTCTGTGCAGCCTGGTACCCTGCACAGTGTTTTCCTGTATGATGTGGCTGGAAACCTAGCCACCCAGAGAGGTGCCACTTTAGTGAGTCGTGCTTGTTGTCAGCTTTTTAATGGCAGTTGTGAAGATTTGAATATAACAGTCGCTTGTATGGATTCCCTGTGTTAAGGCAAATCACGGGAAATAGTGTTTTGTCTTGATGCCAGTGCTGTGAGTACCTGCAGTTTTGCTTACCACTCTGCCTTCACGCAGAGGCCATGGTTGCGTAGAGTTCTCAGCAGTGTTTTAATCAAACAGCTGCAGCTGAAATTCCTTCCATTCAGGTCTTGAGACCCTTGCCCTCATTCCTGACCGCAACTATCGTGTGTGGAGTATCGTGACCCCTGAAATGAATCCTCTGATTTGAACTTGAGTCTTCTTAAACTGATGGAACAACTTTTTGCGCTGCTTTCAGTGATGAACGCAAAGCTGCTGGCCTTAAGACGAGATTTTAAACACATCAGGATGTTAGATCTTGTTGTACTAAGAAGAAAGAGACTTTGCGCTCAAAATGTTTCTGGCTTTTAATGTAATTCAAGCAGTAAAATGTCACTCACCCATTAGACCTCTACTTCTGTTCATCTTTGAAAGATCTTGGAAAGAGTGAGAAAAGGGGAGTGCATCTTTGGCAAATTTTACCCTCCATTTAGGAAAGGGTGCCAAACGCTGCCACTCTTTCCCTCTCTCTTCTCTCTCTCTCTCTCTTTCTTATTTAATGGTGCTCCTAAGTCCAGCAGGCCTTGTTAGGGTCACAGCTTAGGAGACCAAGGAAGGTCTGAGATAATGCAGGAAATAAAGTGGCAAGTGTTAAAGGTTTGAGAACTCAAAGCGTCTTAACTAATGGGATGAGATTTCTACCTCCAGAAGTCTCCCACTCCATAACAGCACCACCCTGTCCCAGCCCAAATTGGGCCTTTTAAAAACCTGTGCATACAGATAGTGGAGAAAGAGTGTTGATTCAAGTACACTAAACACAGCCTTCCCATCCTACTTATGTGGACCAGACTCATATTAGAGACAAAATTTAACATGTTTTTAAAGGGAAGGTAGGCAGAAACTTTTTTTTCTTGACTCTGTGGAAAATAAAGGAGAATAGAGAGCTGAGTTCTTATTCTACTTCTACTTTAAACCTGAGAAGTTGTGCTCTGAGCCTGGCTCTCCTCACCTGGGAGGGCAGGGGGCGGTGACTGTCAGATCAGTTATAGAAAACTACATGCCCCGACACACATCAGAGGGCACTGTGGCTGTAAAGCCTTGTGCACCTTTTTGGAATTCTGAGCGCTGCACTGTCCTCCTACGCGAGAAACTCACTAAAATAAACCTGAGGACAAGATTGGGCACCCCCGTCTTTTCCCATTTAGATGTCCTCCCCATAAATCTGCCCTCCCGCCCATTCAGGGCCACAGGCAATGCCTATCACCTGAACCTGTCTCAGCTTTAGCTAGAATCCTTTGGTAAGAAGAGCTTCTGATTATAATAACACCTGCGCTGGAGGTGCAACTGTATGGTAATTAAAGGCCACCTGTCAAACTGGTGCGGGATTCTGTTCACTCACCTCTGCCCCTTCTCTTTTCTGCCCCCTCAGCTGCTGGACTTGTGCAGTTGTGTTAAGACATGACTGTTTTGCCTATCCGTGGGTGTAATGTGATTCCTCTAGACTGCAGGCTTTTTGCTTGATGGAAACGGTTGCTAGAGTTGGTGGAACACCTGGGGGGGATCTTCTGGCATGAAAGGTGCTGGGTATGAATCATTTGTCATGAGCTTGGTGTCGTAAGCAAGAACATATTGTTCCCACCCTACTCATCCCAGGCCTGCTGTGCCCTGATCTAAATTTGTGTAGTAATCCTTAGAGTGTTAAAAAATATATTTTCCTGTATACATATATATGCATAATGGTATATGTGTTTATATGTTATTTTCAACCAGTTTCAAAGTGCTACATTCACTAATCCTCATAAAATCCTTCTTAGGTAGTAAGTAGATGGCAAATGTTAATTTATCTATTTTAAAAGATTTGTGCTGGAGTTAATTTGAGTATCTCAGTCCACTTCTTTGCTCCTTTCTCACTGGCAATCGTGTAAAAATATTTGTTAGCAGAGGCTTTTATTTGACTTATATTTTGCCATTACGATGTCTACAATGCTCTGTTTATTATCAGCATGGTGGTCTGGCTGATTTTCCTGTACCACTTTGTCTCTCCTTGTTCTGGGATTTGACATGTCTCATCCAACCATAATGAGTAAATTGAGTCCCGAGAGGTTCACATTTTTAGGTAGATGCCTTACATTCATCATCTCACTTAATTTTCACAACAATATCATGAATAGGTATTATTACTATTGCCATCACATGCAGGGCATAATGGAGGCTTTGGAAGGCTCAGTGAACTGCCAAGTGGATACAGGTGGTAAGAGGCAAGGTGGGGGCTGGTGTCCAGAGTGATCTTACTCCCTAACCCCACAGAATTGCTTTTCTTATGAACTTTTAGGTAGCACAGAAAAACGCTGACCTTTTGGCATCTGTCTTAAATAATCCTATCTTGAGTTGATTTTTGATCAACTAGCTAGAAGCTCCATCTCCTTGTAGGAAAACAAGGATGTTCACATGTGCCTGTCACATTGCACTCTTTACCTTAGGTAGTGATTTGGGTGTTCTGTTCTCCACCCACCTCTTCATCTTTAGTGAGAGATGGGATCTGCACCTGGTGATTCAGTGAGCACAATGCATGCTGCTATCATTCAGCTTTCGAAGCTGTGTTCTTTAGCAGTAGTTTCCTTTTTTGAATCTTACTTAATGGGAAATCTGATCTTATAGAAAGGTTGAATATGAACACTTAATTTTGTCATGCATTTTGACAGTTTTTTTTTTTCTGAATCTTTTTTTTCTTACGTAAAATCAAATATTTTAGCTTTCTCTAGTAAGCCCATAGTACTCCTCTCCTGATCAGTATCCTGGTACTGGATGCTAATGTGATTTGCCATGGAAGGTAATAGGTTTGGAAGCAAACCTATCTGAGTTTGAATCTTAGCACTCCTGTTTAATGGCACATTGCCTTGAGCAAGACAAATTCTTTGAGCCTTGTGCTCTTCATCTAAAATATAGGGATAGTATGTCTTTTGCATGCTTCCTTTGAAGGTTTAACATTATGTTTCCAAGTTAACTTGTATGTAGTAAGTGCTTAATAAATACTATTTCCTTTTTTAGATGAATAAAGTACTGTACTAGGAACTTAGACTACTGGGTTAAAATTCTAGTTGTGTATCAAAATAGGTTGTCAGGCATGTTGAATGTTTGTGAGCTTCAATTTCATCCTCTGTACAGTGACACTTAATGGAAAACTATTACATGTTGATGTTAACATTGCACTTTGTTTAATTTGTAGTTATTGTGATCTTACTACATTTCAATAAAGTGCCCTGGGAATGTTAGGTATGCAGATATAAACAATGACCTGACATACCAATGAACAGACCTTTCATTTCACACAGATTCTTCTTTTTCCAACAGTTTATATGCATATCTACTTATGCAAAATCAAGAAATTTGAGATCTGAACAGGTGTTCAGCCAAACATAGTTTATTAGATTTATTATATCACATCTTCATGAAACTTAAGGATGTTTCTGTCTTAGGACCAAAAATAAATGCTTTATGTGAAATTGAAAAGTAAATTTATCTTAGATATGGGATTTTCTAGAACAAACGAAAAGCTGTCTTTGGAACTATGTTCACATGATTTTAAAGAGAAACTCCAGAAACACATAGGCTAGGGTATAAAAGCAGATAGAATAATCTGATTTGTTTAAGAGACTAACAATGGCTGACATGTAAGGAGTAATTTCTGTGTACCAACATATGTTAAAAGTCTTACAGAAATTATCATATTTATTTTTAATTCCACAAATATATTCTGAGCTCCTAATATTTTTCA